ACAAATCTGTCCTGGAAGAAGTGCAGTAAGAATGCTCCTTGGAAGCGAGAATGGCCAGACTTCATCTCACCTACTTTAGTCATGTTGTCAGAAGGGACCATTCTCTGGTGAAGGATATTGTGCTTGGTAAAATAGTGGGTCAACAAAAGAGGGTAAGGCTCTCAACAAGATGGACTGACACCGTGGCTACAGCAATGGGTTCAGGTTTAGTAGGGATTGTGAAGCTGGCACAGGAATGGGCAGTGTTTCATTCATACATAGGTCACTGTGAGTCAGAGATGAGTCGACGGCACATAACAATCTTGTATCCTGCCCTATGTTAAATCTCTCCATTAGTTCCAATAGTTTTCTTGCTGAGTCGCTTGGGTTTTGTATGTATAGGACCACATCACCTGTAAATAGGGATAGTTTGACTTCTTCCTTACCAATTTGGATCCCTTTGATTTCCCTTTCCTGTCTTATTGCCCTGCTAGGCCTTCCAATACAATGCTGAATAGAAATGTCAGTAGAGAGCATCCTTGTCTGTTTCCTATTTGCAAGGGAAAGTTTTCAGTGTCTCTCCATTGAGAATAAAGCTGGCTGTTGTTTTTGCATCTACGCCCTGCGTTTTATTAATCTTTTCAAAGAACCAATTTCTAGTGCTGTTGATTTTTTCTATTGTCTTCCTATTTTCTGTTTCATTTATTTCTGCTTTAATCTTTATTATTTCTTTCCTTCCAGTGACTGAAAGCTTTTTTGCTGCTCTTTTTCTAACTGTTGGAGATGTTGGGTTAAAGTGTTGTTTTGGGCTTTTTCTTCTTTTTTGATGTGTGCATTTATTGCTATAAATTAGCCTCTGATCACTGTTTTTGCTGTGTCCCAAAGATTTTGGTATGTTGTGTTTTCATTGTCATTTGATTCAAGGAATTTTTAAATTTCATTTTTCATTTCTTCTACTACCCAGTTTTTTTGAGGGAAGGTGTTATTCAGTTTCCATGTGTATGTTCTTTTTCTGTTGCTCTTCCTATTGTTGATTTCTAATTTTAAGGCATTCTGATCTGAGAAGATGCTTTGCAGTATTTCAATGTTTTTAAATTTATTAAGGCTTGTTTTGTAGCCTAACACACGATCTATACTGGAGAATGCCTCATGTGCACTGGAAAAGAATGTATAGTGTGCTGTTGTTGGGTGAAGTGCTCTGTAGATGTCTATAGGGTCAAGTTGGTGGATTGTATTGTTTAGTTCTTCTGCATTTTTGTTGAGTTTCTTTCCAGTTGTTCTCTATCTGTGATTGAAAGTGGTGAATTCAAATGTCCTACTATTACTGTGGAGTCATCTATTTGTTTTTTCAATTCTGTTAAAGTCTGACTTATGTATTTTGGGGCTCTTTCATTGGGTACATAGATATTTATTATGGGTATGTCTTCTAGTTCTATCAATCCTACAATCATTATATAATGTCCTTCTTTGCATCTTTTGGTCGTCTTTGTCTTAAAGTCAATTTTATCACAAATTATATTGCCACTCCTGTTCTTTCTTGATTGCCATTTGCTTGATGTATCTTTTTCCAATCTTTGATTTGTAGTCTGTTTTTCTTTTTGTTTCTTAGCTGTGTCTCTTTTAGACAGCATATTTACACATCATGTTTTCTCATACAGACTGCAAATCCCTGTCTCTTGAGTGGTGCAGTTAATCTATTTACATTTAGTGTAATTATCAACAAGTATGAATCTGTTGCTGTCATTTTGTTATTATTATTATTTTTGGCTTTGCTGATTTTTTGTTCCATATAATTTTTTTGTGCTAAGCTCATCTTTTATGAATTGTGTTATTATTTTTTTGTGTGTGTTGCTATTGTTTTAGTGTTTGCTAAACATATGTGCTTGTTTTCTTTTTTATTTTGATGCAAAGGTTTAGTATTTTTCTGTGTGGTTACGCTGATTTATAATCTCTTCCAAAGTTTAGAACAGTCCATTGTATCTCACAATTGTCTTGACTTTCTCACCATTTAGAAGCTCCATAACTACATTATTTTTTCCCTCCTTTTAGTTTGTAATTGTAGTCATTTGCCTACTGATGTCCCTGGTCCCTTCTTTACAATCTTTTAAGTGTATTATACTTTTGATACTTCCATAACGGGTTTGCTTCTGTGTTATGTTATCCTGCGTATTAATGGTTGGTTGTTTTTTGCTGTTGTTAGTTCTCTGTGCATAGGATTCCCCTTAGCACCTATTGTTAGGTTGGTCTTGTTTTAACAAATTTCCTTAATTTCTGCTTATCTGGAAATGTGCTAATTTCACCATCATATTTGAGGGACAATTTTGCTGGGTCTTGGTTTGATTTTTTTTTTAGTGTTTTATATATACCATTCCACTGCCTTCTTGCCTACATGGTTTCTGCTAAGAAATCTGAGTTTCATCTTATTGGTTGCCTTTTGTAAGTCACTTCTCAATTTTCCCTGTTTTCAGGAGTCTTTGTCTTTGGTTTTGGTGAGCTCAATGATGATACAATTTGGTGATTTCCTTTTGGCATCTATCCTGTTTGTGGTTCACTGAATTTTTAAATGGATATATTCTTGTCTTTCATCATGTCAGGGGAATTCTCTTCCAACAAATCATTGACAGTTCTCTTAGTTTTATTTGTGCCTTCCTATTCTGGAATTCCAATTACATTTAGGTTATTTCTCTTGATGGTATCCCACATGAATCTCAGGCTTTCATCATTTTGTTTTGATCTTTTTTCTGATTGATCCTTTACCATAGTAGTATTCAGGCATTTGTCTTCAATCTCACCAATTCTGTCTTCCATTGATTCAATTCTACTCCTTTGCCTGTTCAATGTGTTATCTACTTCTGAAATTTTAGTATTAAACTGAATTTCTATCTGTAGATTTTGTATTACTTCTAATTTTTCATTTATTTTGTCATTTTGTTCTGGTATTGTCTTCTCAAATTATTCTAGGGTTTTGTCTCTGTTTTCCTTGATCTATCTCTCAATCCATTGAAGATACCTAAATATAATTCTCTTTAATTCCTTATCAGGTAGTTCCAATGCAGGTTCTTCCTCAGGGATGTTTTTTGGGTCTGTATCCTGGTTCCTTTTTTCTACTACTCTGTCTTGCCTTTTTGTGTGGATGGTGATAGTCTCTTGTTTCTGAGACTTTGTGATATTGTATTTATATTTAATTGGGGATTGTATGTTGGTGTGATTCACCCAAGACCTTTTTTCTTCATTTTGTTTTGATATATCTGAGGAAGCAGGGTACTGTGCTCCGCTATTCACTAGTTGGCAGCACTTATGTACTCACCACCTGTCTCTTGGTGAGTGTGATAGAGAATGAGAGTGGGTACACAGATCTCTGTTAGCTGTTGGTGAAGAGCAGTAAAAGGTGAGTCGGGCTCATATTGGCTGCCATCTGTCATTGCCAGAGGCAAGTAGTGTCCCTCACTCAGTAGTTGGAG